CCACGAGCCTTTGCCCAAAGCCCCCCCACCAGGAGGCTGAAGCAGTTTCCCAAGTCAGAATTTCTGACCCCCTCCGACCCACACAAAAAGACCCCGAAGGGGGAGACTCTCTGCAGCAACACAAACATTCATTGCACATGTCCTTCCCAGGGGTCGTAGTTTTGAGGAACCCCCAATTTAGTGCAATATAAAAACAATTAATCGGTGGAACAGAAGTTGCCTCCAGAAGTTGTGAATGCCCCAACACTGGAAGTCTTTAAGAAGATGTTGGATAGCCATTTGTCTGGAACAGTATAGGGTTACCTGCCTAGGCAGGGGGTTGGACTAGAAGACCTCCACGGTCCCTTCCAATTCTTCTATTGTATTGTAACACAAAGAAATTTGAAAGCACCCTGTTGAAGAGGAAGTACATATATAATCATGGTCATGACATTTATATTAAGGCTTTTGCATATGTTTATAGCTTATTAATTATTTTTAAAGAGAATTGTGTTATGCTCAAGCTTAGAGCCCAGGTGAATCTCAGCATTCTTCCTCCCTCCCTCCCTCTATCTCCACTCTGATTACTCACCAGGGGATTCTGCAGGGACATAATTTTTCATTGTTTAATCCCTCTGATGCACCATGCAGTAATCTTGGATATAATCTGCACACAATTACAAGACAATTGCAGACATCATAAATGCTGCCATACCACTAATTTTTCAGCAGCTTTGGGAGCTCTGGGTTAACGAAGGCTTCCCCTAAGAGGTTCTCTCGACTCCTTCAACCCAAAGCCTGCCACACCTGCCAGAGTCAAAAGTTGTTTCTTAACAGTTTGGTTAAAGGATCACTAAAGCCTTTAAAACGCCATTCTCTCTGTTAATCAAACATGGCCAGGCTGCAGACATCCAGATCAAGCTACAGGCTCCTGTGGGTAAAACGTGTTTTTACTTAAAACAACATTAACTTAAAATACCGATAAGACTTGATATCCAGATATCCAGCTGGCCTGAATTAACTTTCTTCTTCATTTAATTCAAGCCAGCGGATGTGGATTTTGAATCGTATGAACACATGTATTATTATTATTTCCATCCTAATGCAAATAAGAAGTTTGAGGGCAAAGAAAGGTGAAAGGAAAGTAGAGGAAAGTCAGTGGAGAAGCTAAAAATGATGAGGCTCCGTCTTTCCCAGAGCAATGGTTTCTAAACCGCACAGTTATTCTCAATTGCAACAAGTTGTCCCTTGAGGACGGTTGGCCTTTATTTTGGAGCTTATCAATTTTCCTTATCATAAGACCTCTGAAATCAGGCTCACGTCAATTGGGCAAGTCGATGAAGGGAAGCTTCGGGGGCAAGCATGAACAGAAAGTAGTACCAATTCTTCTTCAAAGTCGCTTATCTTCCCCTTTCAACTTTTCCTTGAATCTCAGTGTATTACAGCTCTTAGATTCACTCCTCTCAATGGTCTTCTCTATAAATGAATACAAATAGTATTTCAAAAGTTTTTATTCTAGAGTTTAAAGTTTCCTTTCTCGTTCTGCATGATTCATGTTTGTTATCATATTTCTTAGTGACCTTTGGAAATTATAGTTCAGTCTATATGACTTTTGTTTCTTAAAATTAATTAGCACCCGAATACCTCCCAAGGCTTTATCAGTGAGGGGGAAAATTAGAGGACGTGTACACTACACACATTTATTTCAAAGTATTGATTCTCCATGTTCTAATTGCTTCTAAGTTGACCTACAGCATGTTCTACCAGAAGACATGTTTGTGGAGACAACGTGGCAGATGCTCTCTCTTGATGTATTGGGTATACCTCCCATAATCCCCAGTTAGCTGGGCCATGCTGATTGCAATTATGGGAGCTGTATTCCAATACAGTTGCAAGGCGTCAAAATGTTTGTACCAGATTATATGATTAATAAAGATTTTGAGCTCAAAATTCTTGGAAGATACTGGGAGAACAGCTGAAGCCAAATCCTAATACCTATATCAGAACTTTTTCTACTTAAGGATGAAGTAGAAATATAATAGTCTAGTACCTAATGCATAATTTATATTGAAATTCTGAGTAGCTTCAGATATTGGAGACCTTTACATACAGTAATTCATATAGACTCTATTCAATTGTTTTACTTCATTAGCCTCTCCTCTCCTCTCTCCTCTTCTCCTCTCCTTCTCCTCTCTCCTCTTCTCCTCTCCTCTCCTTCTCCTTTCTTCTCCTCTCTTCTCTTCTCCTGTCCTCTCCTAGGACAGAATTTTGCAAAACACCCTTTCCAGATCCAGCCTGTGGTCCTTGCAGGAGGCTTACTGCAAGCCAGTGTACATAACTTTCTTACAACTTTCCATATTCTAGAGCTGTGCTGCATATTTTTATTGTAGGGAAGCAATAAGGTCAGTATCAAACACTTTTGAAAACTGGAATAGGATCAAATTAGAATCTTTACTTTTAGTTCAATAGATTTGATAGCTGTTTGACATATTCACCCTCCCTTCCCTAAATCGTGCTGTGCTGCCTCAGGATGGTGTGTGTGTGTGTGTGTGTGTGTGTGTGTGTATGTGTGTCCCTGAGAGAGTTGAGCAATGAACATCAGGAGCGTGTGTGCCAAGGGAATATTCCAGCAGGGTCATTCGAGTGTGTCCCTCCCAGCTGCTGTGCAAGAGGAAGCAGGCCCTTATAGTGGGAAACAGTGATGTAGGAAGATGCCAGAGGCAGAGGATCATTTAGTAACCACAACGATCGATTCATACTGTATGGCAGAAGGCAATGGTTAGCCACCCTGCATTTTTTTAACCAAGAAAACCACATTAATCAAAAAAATAAAGTGATTGATTTACAGTGTTTGTATGATGGGTCCATCAAGTCAGATGATACTCAACGTGCTACTGAGGAAGAGCTGGGGAATCTGATGTTTGTGTTGTGGCTAAATAAAAGCCTTTGTGGGTCTAGTTGGTGATGTTGCCATACAGAAAAAGAAAATTCAAAGCTGCAAAGATAGAATTATGGTAGAAATAAGAAGCATGAACACTGGAAAGGTTAACACAATGGAAGATGAAAGGACTGCACATTGATATGTTAGGCATCGGCAGATGGAGATGGAGTGGGATCAGAAGATTTACACTGTTTATTACTCACGACATGAAAAACAAAGAAGGGATGGCGTTGCTTTTATAATTAGGAAAACTATATCAAGAAGAGTACTTGCTACAATGCAAGTTGTAATCTAATTCCCAAATAATATCGATTACCATTCATGGACACATCTTTAATATGATAGATCATTTAGGTTTATGTTCCAACCACTGATGCAGAAGGGAAGGTTGTTGAAATTGGTAGAACATGGAAGCAAGATGAGCTGCTTTTGATTGGAGACTGGAATACCAAAGTTGGAAACACGAGGGTGGAAAATGTAATTGGATTGTACGAAATGAAGCAAGAAACCGACGTATCAATTTCTGCCACTCCAGTGATTTCTTATGGGCTAACACTCTTCAAGCGACCAAAATGATGCCTTTATATATGGGCATCACCAGATGGAATATACAGAAATCAAATTGACTATATTATTGCTAAAATTAGGTGGAGAAGCTCAATTATAGCATTAAAGAGATGGCCAGATGTTGACT